AAAATAGTAATAGATCTGAGAGAGAGAGAGAGAGAGAGAGAGAGAGAGAGAGAGAGAGAGAGAGAGAGAGAGAGAACCTTGCATTGTAATATTGTAAGTGTGCAATCTCGGGGCACCTGAGAGACAGAATGGACAACCTGTGTCTGCCAGGTGCCAGAGGCGGCATTAGCTGCCTGGGATACTTATTTCCCTTTGAATTCCCAGGAAGAACCTGATACAGACACAGCTATTTCCCAGATGAGGGTACTGAGGCTGCACATTCAAGGTTGCACAAATTCTAAATGGCAGCAGGTAGGTTTATACAGGTCTGTCTAGGATGGCAATCCAGATAACTAGTTTAGATCCCTCCACAAATCTCCCTCCCTGCCATTAACCAGTCTCCTGGCTTACCAAATCATATAAACAAAGAAAGAGAAAGATGTGGTGGCATGAAGTTTACAGCTGTGTGTTTAAAAAGAACTCCTGCTTTACTGTTTAGGATGAAGGCGGCTCTTTTCACTCTTGACCCAAGTCACTCCTGCCCTGATTGACTGCCTCCACGGCAATACTAGTGTTAATTTTAAGACACACAATGAAGTGAGTTACTCAGAAATACACTGTTCAACTGTATGGCGACCTTCACAGGCCACTTAAGTCACTGTGGATTTCAGGTTCTTCCTAAGTAAGCCCATTACGTAAAACCAAAAACAAAACCAGACAAACCAGGAGGACATCCACGCTAAATGAGAAAGGGGAACCGACAGAGACCCTGTGTTCTTTTTTTGTTTGTTTGTTTGTTTTTCGAGACAGGGTTTCTCTGTGTAGCTTTGCACCTTTCCTGGAACTCCCGTTGGAGACCAGGCTGGCCTCGAACTCACAGAGATCTGCCTGCCTCTGCCTCCAGAGTGCTGGGATTAAAGGCGTGCGCCACCACCGCCAGGACGAGACCCTGCATTCTTAATGAAAAAGAAAGCAGCTGCCTAGAAACAGCCACTGATACCTGCCACACTGACAGTCTGGACTTCGCATGGCCGCTCAGGATAGGCAAGTGGGCTTGGGAAGTGTAAGACTGCTGTGTGGTGAACCCGATGGGAAAGGAAAGGCCAAAGTGGTAAGGAAGAGCAGAGAAAGAATTAGAAACCCCTTCAATTGTAACATGCTGGGGAGCTGGTGGAGAAAAGGACGGGAAAGAGGGAACAAGAGCAAGCTTGTGAAAAAAAAAATGCCATGTATTCTGGACTTGGTATGACTAAGACAGCAGTCAACCCATTTGTAGAAAGTATTTTTGTTTCAGAAGACAACAAACAATTTGATTTTGATGCAACCCACTAGTACTGGCTAGTTTATGTCAACTTGACACAGGCCAGAGTCATCAGAGAGGAGGGAGCCTCAGTTGAGAGAGCCTCAGTTGAGAGAATGCCTCCACAAGGCTGGGCTGTGGGCAAGCCTGGAGGGCATTTTCTTAATTGGTGATTGACAGGGGAGGGCCCAGCCCATTGTGGATGGAGACGCCCCTGGGCTGGTGGTCCTGGGTTCTATAAAAGAGCAGGCTGAGCAAGCCATGGGGAGCAAGCCAGTGAGCAGCACCCCTCCATGGCCTCTGCATCAGCTCCTGTCCCCAGGCCCTGCACTGACCGCTTTTGATGACGAACTGTGAATGAAGCAAATCCCTTAAGTGTTTCCTCATAGCAATAGTAACCCGAACTAAGATGCCACCCAGTCCCCAAAATTTCCTTGTCCTCCCAAATCGCTATGATTTTTTTTAAATATCAAAGTCCAGTTTTTGTCCCTTCCAAAGAACCTGAGTGAAACCACTTAGACCAGTCGTTTCAACCTATGGGTCGTGACCCTATGGGGTCACATATCAGATATTTACATTACAGTTCAGTTCATAATAGTAGAAAAGTTACAGTTGTGAAGTAGCAACAAAATAATTTTATGGTTGGGGGTCACCCCAGCATGAGGAACTATATTAAAGGGTGACCGCATTTAGGAAGGTTGAGAGCCATTGACTTAGACCAACTTACTGTGACAGATTTCTGAGTTCTATATCAGCTGTGTCCTTCATATTCAAATGACTGAATTATGGAGTTGGAAACTGCTGTTAACAATGCCCTTGCATTAGGATGGGGCTGTGCTTCCCGGCCCACACTGTCAGTGTGCATGTAGTGGGGCGTGGGTGAAACAGAGGGGTGTGTGTTT